TGCATGCAATGTTAAACTGCACATAATGTAATAGTACATTATTATTGTAATGTATATTATTATGCATATTAATATAACCACACCGATCACAGCAAGCATAATTTCATAAGTGTGTAAAACTGGCCTCGCATAATGCAATGTAAAAGAGCATTATTATTATTATTATTATTATTATTAATACACATTTTTTTAATATTTTCCATTAATATACATTATTATGTTAGGTTTAAGGGTAACGCACTGGCGCAGTAGGTAGTGCTGTAGCCTCACAGCAAGAAGGTCACAGGTTTGAGCCTCGGCTGTGTCAGTTGGTGTTTCTGTGTGGAGTTTGCATGTTCTCCCTGCATTCGCATGGGTTTCCTCCGGGTGCCCCGGTTTCCCCCACAGTCCAAACACATGCGGTACAGGTGAATTGGGTAGGCTAAATTCTCCATAGTGTATGAGTGTAAATGGGCGTGTGTGGATGTTTACCAGAAATGGGTTGCAACTGGAAGGGCATCCGCTGCGTAACAACTTATGCTGGATAAGTTGACCCCGTGTGGTGACCCCGGATTAATAAAGGGACTAAGCCGAAAAGAAAATGAATGAATGTTAGGTTAACTACGTTGGGTTAATTAGACAAAAATAATTTCTTAAGGAGGCTAAAAATATTGACCATAAAAATAAAAAAAAACAAAAGTAAATGAAATAAAAGTTTATACAATAAGAAAATATATAGAAAATATTGCAATTTGAGACTCTCCATGTTTGATTTAGTGGGGGCACTAAGAAAACTAACAACACACACCTCCCACCAGTGACGTTATACAGCCATATCGCAATGCTAATCGTGTGATATTGCGTTTATACAACAGTTTGACGGCATAATTGTGTATATAAAAACAAAATCAAACATGGAGAGTCTCAAAAACCCTTTTGAATGAGGAACTACTTTCTTCCGCGTTGGATTCAAATCATAAGCTGACAGTTAAACAGCTGAGCAAGCATCTTTTAAACTTTAGATCTGTAGTGTCTGCTTTCTGCTGGCTGTTGTGGGCGGAGTAATACACAGAGGGTAAAGAGGCTGTACGGGTGCTTCTATTGCTTAAATATATCACGGCTGTCAGACAATCAGATTCGAGAACCAGACAGAACTGTTGTATAAATAAATAAATAAATAAATAACTATATATATATATATATATATATATATATATATATATATAATTATTATTATTATAATTAATAAAATTAATAATTAATAAAATATTGAGCTCATAAAATAATACCAATTTGTGCTTTATGAGGAACATGTTACATTACAAATATATAAATATTGCATAATAATATTGCATATATAAATATTGCATTTATATAAACATAAAAAAACCTTATGATCTATGATTGCATAAGTTGCCACTGTGTTTTTGTTATGCAGCACATTTCTCAAACAATCACCTATTACATTAAAATGTGTTATTACATAAAAAAACATATACATTATTACAGTACATTATGAGCTCAGTATTCACTCATTCACTCAGAACTTTTATTAATCAGGGATCGCCACAGCGGAATGAACCTCCAACTTATCCAGCATGTGTTTACCAGCAGCAACCCATCATTGGGAAACACCCTTACACTCTTATTCACACTCATACACTATGGACAAATTAGCTTACCCATTTCACCTACAGCACATGTCTTTGGACTGTGGGGGAAACCGGAGCACCTGGAGGAAACCCACGCCAACACATGGAGAACATGCAAACTCCACACTGATGAGTCATCTGACCCAGCCGAGGCTCAAACCAGAGACCTTCTTGCTGTGAGGCGACAGCACTACCCACTGTGCCACCCCTTATGAGCTCAATATTTGATTACATTTTGATAAAATGATTACATAATGAACAGCTTATTACATATATAATGTAGTACCTATCACATTATGAACAGTCTGTGAGTTGCTACGGCGTGCGCTAACCCGTGGCTCGACACCTAGAAATAAATCTGTAATTGATTTTCCTATCTGTCAGTCTCCCTGGTGGGAAACTTTGACTATGGCATCAGCACACAGTAGGCAGATTATTATTATTATAACGGAGCCGTTTCCCTCAAGAATTCCCTGCTATCAGCTCAAGGTGAGAATGGGGAGGAAGAAAGAGCGCTGTAGTTACTAAACAATAGGCCGACGTGGGAAATATGACACACAAACGCATGCAAACATGAGCAGGTTAGCGGATGCCAGCACTCATAACTGTCTGTCTTCAGCCTCGGAGGGCTCCAGGTGGTCCACAGGCCTGGAAAACATGCAGTTTTGGGGGGGGGGTTTGAGCTGGAAATGTGTTGGGCTCAAAGCCAGAGCCCATAGAGGAGAGTGTCAGAGTGTAAGAAGCAGGGTTTGGATGATCTGAATGAGTGGGCACAGAATGACTGTCCTCATAATGCTCTCACTATTGTTGTGTTTCTATTACTGTACAGGATGTGGAGGCATCAACACTGGCGTGACAACACAATTCAGTTATATTATTAATATGTGTTAATGTCAAGAGAAAACCTTTGTTTTATGGTATCCTATAATTAATATATTAAAACAACATATAAAATAATTAATAATAAATATATAGAGAGCAAGGGTGGAGCCGAACCCGAATACGGTATTCGGAAAGGCACGAATAGCGTGTTTTTACGAATACTTGATTCGAACAAATACTTGAAAAATTATTTGTATTCGGGAGCAAGAAAAACACTATATCAAAAAGCAGCGTTTCCTCCTGAGACCACAGTGCATGCCCGCGTGAGTGAGTGAGAGAGAGAGAGAAAGAGAGAGAGAGAGAGAGAGAGAGAGAGAGAGAGAGAGAGAGAGAGAGAGAGAGAGAGACACGCTCAGTGCAAAACGCGCCAAAGCCCGAAACTGAAAGCGAGACGTGACTTTTAAGGGACTGTTTCATATGGATTTATTAATCATTCTTACTGTTCAGTGAACGCAAACTGCTGTAGTTTATTAAAGACGCAAACTCCACACAGCACGTCAGCTGTGCGCCTTCAGCAGACCTCTCCATTCCTGCAGCACGAGAGCTTTATGATTGTTTATGAGCGCCAAAAGTGGCGGATCTGTTCGGTAAAATATCTGACTGCGTGTCACCGCATCCCTAAGGACTGTTTGGCGAAATATTTGACTGCATGTCACTGCATAACAAACGACTGAAATGATATAACTAGAGAAATCTCCACTTTGCCACTGTACGTATGGCAAGCCGTTTTAGCATTTAAACCTTGTTCAGACTATCCATAAATATATTTAGAGATATCTCTAATTATATTTTGACTTGTCATAATTATAATTCAGATTGGAAATATCTGCAAATATATTATGACTGACTAGTCATATTCCTCCATTGACTTCCATTGAAAAATATTTGCAGATATCTTTAAATAAACAAACAAACAAACTTTGTGTCTTTTTTCTTGGCAGGCAGATGATAATAGCAGGGCTGTATCTTTTAGTATTATATAGAATACTTTTGTTCTGCCAGATCTCCCAGGCAGGGTTTTATTTAGATTTATTTAGTTAATTTTAGTTTTTGGAATTCTGCCCATTGGAAAGAAGTTCTTTCAGAAGAAGAACAGTTTTTTGAAGTATTATTTGTTTTTATTCTGTCTATTCAGTGTCCTTCAACAAGAACGGTGGTGGTGGGGTTCATAATATTCACAATGGTATTTTATTAGTTGTTGGTTTAACCATGGATGAGATAATGGCTTCTATGTTATTTTCTTTTCAATGACATTTCTTGTCACATGTTCAAAAACAACAGCCAATATTGCATATCTATAATTTATATAATGGGTATAATTAAGCAATACTTTCTCTATAACGTAAATTAGAAGTGTAATAGAAAAAATATATATTTTTGCGCCATTTTGAATTTTACTCGAATACAAATACAAATACAAATACAAATACTTTTCCCCTCTCAACAAATACAAATACAAATACAAATACTGGCTGCTCCGCACATCCCTAATAGAGAGCTACTTAAGATATTTTATGGCATGAGTTCATCATAAACACAAACACAGCAATAAAACCTACTATTACTTCCTTAATAAAAATGCACAATAAAATTAAAAATACATACAGAGACCATTATAAATAAATAAATTAATAAATATGAACACGATTATCTTTATAATGATTTAAATTGTGGTTATCTGTATATGAAAATATGAATAACAAATGTAGCAGGGCATTCAATTACTGTTTATTTCTTTGCATTTTACTTTAAAAACTATAAAATCATGCGTCTCCCACTCATTTTGTGAGCTGACTGACAACAGTTGTTCGCTCCCCTCCTTCTCCCCTGCTGGCCACACCCACTCCTGCCCTTTGCTCGCTGAGCTCCGCCCATTATGATGCATCTTTTGAAAAAATTCAGAGGTAGACCTGAACTGAAAGTGGGGGGTGTCACGACCCTTTAAATATGTTTTCACGAATGCACTTCAAATATTACACAAAACACGTAAATATTTGTGGAAGAAGTCCTGTGTATGTATAATTATGTGTGTGCAACTCAAAATAAAAATCGATAATTAAAGCCGCTGCTCCAATCCCCCATATTCATGAACAGAAAAAAGCACATCTGCCTAGAAACAGCGTCTCTAATAACTTGAGAGCCCCGAAGCCGAAATGACTGCAAATGTGTCTCACGCTGCAACAAAAATAACAACAGCGCTTTCATTCAAGGGCCTCCATTTAGTCCCGCGGCCCCAAAAGAAGCTCCATTATCGGGACGATGCGTTCCGTTCGCCGGCACAAAAGAAACAAACAATCCATACGTGATCAATTTAATGCACTCTTATAAAAAGCTCTTGACCGTTTTACACCAATGACATCTAAGAGCTTTCCCAGAACTTCTACCTCCCCGGATGCCATTTACTTAATTAGAGAGTTGGCTAATTTTCCGGCCAGTGATGTTTGGGTTTAATTACGAGTCTGCTATTTTGGTTTTGTGGACACTCAC